GACAACCAATAAGGCTTCAATATTTTATGAGAAATTACCTTCCTTACCGAAATACCGACACCTGATTGGTTATTACAGTAGTTGGTAGGAGGCCTTTAAAGTCACCTTCAGGGGTCACCTCAGCAACAATCGAAGTGACCAATTAGACTTTTACATTTCATGAAAATCTGTTTTCCCAGTAATGATAAAATTTAATTGGTTATTTCAATCGTTGCTAGGGCGACCCTTAAAGTAGACGCTAAACATAATTTTAATAATTTGGAAAAACTAGTACATTAATAGCGCTTATGCATTACAACAAATTTTTAGGGCAAAATGATACACTAATTTCACCGACTTTTGCCAGTTATAAACACATAAGGGAATTATTTATTTTAAGCCAATCTGTATTTACTTTTTTCCACTGATGTGTTCGCAGACTGACAACATGTATCACTATCTATGACGCTTTTAGCGTGTGTGTGTGTAACAAATTTTGTGGAAAATAGAATGCATATTCAGTTTACGTCATGGAAAGTAGTACCTACATCGACTGGTCACTGGAGGGTAATCAACATCACGTTGTCTAATCCTTAAGGCTGATCGAATTCTATCGAGCATCTTGTAATGTAGTCACCAGGCGCTACGATAATCACTGTCGTGACGCACTGAGAGGCTTGTTAGCTGAATGGAGGCAATCGGGAGGAAACCCTGCTCTATCTACGATTCGTGCTTGTTGGCACTCGTCAGCAAGGCGTATCTACAACATAGAGGGGATTGATGTCCCGCCTGTGACTCAAACTCCCGTCATCCAGTGCTACATTCAGAGACGTTACCAGTGAGCTATTCAGGCCACGATTAACCTTCTGTATGACTGAATTATATACATTGATCGGTCACTGGAGGGTAACCAACTTCCTGTTGTCTAATCCCATATACTAATGGAATTCCTAATGAATAATAACCTTGATTTTTTGCAGAAAGACCCATAGCCATTGTATTTTCAAGGTAAACACACACGAATACCTTCACAGCCAGTTTCATTTTTAACGCAGCAAGGTAATGTTTAAAAACAAATTTTTAAAAACCCTGAAAAGAATAATAAATACCGACTACATCATGCGCCTGTATGACCTTGACATTTAGAAATAAATGAAGTCAAATTAAGACGACATACCTCATTTCATCTTTATAACATTAAGTATCATTTTATACATACATATATATATATATATATATATATATATATATATATATATATATATATAATAGATTTTTCATACGACAAATAACGACCTATTAGACAGTTCACTCATTTATACAACTGAACTGGTTACATGATCATGTACTAGGCTGTGAGTCACATACATGAGACGGCTTTAGTGCCATTCTAGACTAATTAGATGGAAGGCAAGTAGTTATATTGAACGATCTATTGAGTGAATTCAATTAATATTAGTCGGAAACTATGTGAATTACTAAAAAACAAGGGAAAGATAATTATGGGTTTATATAATAACCAGTTATTACTTTAGTTGTTATAACCTTTAAAGCATTTTTCGACTAACGATTCTGTTGCATAATAACCCTCTCCAACTATATTGTGAAAGCAACCGAAAATTCGACGAAATTTATAGAGTCACATGATCACATCATTTCACGTTATTCAGCCGCATGCACATGAAAATAAGTGTGAATAATGCATTATGCACCGACGTCCTGATTGGTTGGTTCAGCTGGCCAATCATAGGAGAGTAAGATATTAAAAGGAAACATTTTCACTGTTTCCTTACGTTTATCACTTCAGGTGACTAGATATCAATTATATGTCATCGACTAGGACAGACTAACTATTAGTATCTCAACATAAGACAAATTTATTCATGTGAAATCATTAACTAGTCTGTCTTATCAGTAATCTGCATTACAGTGAATGAAACTATACATTTTGACGATAGTAATGGATGAGTACTAGGAATAGGATGAAAAATGTACTTTTCCTTAGCTGACAGTACCTATCCTCCAGTAAACGTTGTTCTCATCAATGCGATTCAAAATGATCATTCATCACTTCACAGAATCATCTGCTCGCTTCTTGCGCAACATATCAATTTAAATATATATTAGTTTATAGTCTCCCGTTCCTGACAAATTCTAAATAGACTGAAATGAAAGTCTCTGGAACTAAAAATCTATTCATAAATGATTATCACTACAAAAATGACTGACAAAAGTATCATTTGAGAAAGTAATCAATAGGCGGAAAATCGTTACACTAAATATGACTGAACAATGTGTCTACCATCACATGAGGAGAAATTGGAATAGTGATAATGTCAAATCATTACTATGAACAGAAATCATATTTGAGAGTAGAGGTGATCGATTAGGATAAAACTATTTTTTGGAAAAAAGTACATTAAAACAATCTCTTACAAAATACAACCCAGTGAACTTGTACCAGTCAAAAAGAAACCATAGTGAATATTGAAATATTTAAGGTTGTATTCATTAGTTGGTGAAACATTGGAAGCATAGAAGTACTGAACAGCTGCTTCATCCTACTATGGGACTCCTCAGTAGTGTGCCTCCGCGACCTTCCGAGGGTTCAAGCTCAGCATCTTCACTTTTCAGGGTGAACGCTGGCTTGTAGTTCAATTAAATTACTTAGTCGCCGAAGCTAATGCCGCTGAAGCAAAGATTAGTTGAATATCAGGCATGTATAAAGCAATGACCCACGAATTCGCATCTCACATAAAAGTACATAGGCGAAACTACAACTCCCTATCTGATGGAGGTATACAGAGTAGATTTGAATCTATAATCGTGTGGAAAACAATTTTAGAAAAATATACCTATGCTGGTCGGGGTCAGTTATATTATCGCGACATAAGAATATAATTTGGGGGTTAATGGGGAATTAGTGATTTCTTAAGATGCTATTCATCATGGAATGACATCAGTTGGAAAACGATTAGAAACCTGGGAGGACTGGACACCTGTTTCGTCCTAGTATGGAACTTTTCAGCAGTGAGCACTTATGACCTCACCAGGGATCGAACTCAGGGCCTTCAGGTTCCGTGACCAGCACGTTACCATTGAATCACACGGTCGGATTTTAATGATCCATATTTCCGATTTCTATCAGGACGGAAAAGCTGCCCAGTACTTCTAGGTTTCCAGTGTTCCTCCAACTTACGTCAGTCCACGATGAATACTAACAAGAATTTAGCTAAACATCAAATGATAGACCCCAATAAGACCAATAATCCAGAAAAAAACTAAAAACTTGTTTTCATCCTGTTCGATCAAGGGAACAAAATGTATACAATATTCCACAAAAAAAGTCGAAATTCACAGACCAGACTTGTGCAATAAGGCAATGAGCCACCACCTACTGTGTGAGGGTTAAACATACTTACATTACCTGGCAGCTTAAACAGCAGTTGGGATGTGGGGTAAGAGTTCGAGCCCATGACTCACTATTTGAAAGTCAACGCCCTGAACCAATGGAGCCACAGTTAGCTTCAAAAGAAATGTTAGCCGATTCTATGAATTATTGCCTGTTAGATTCTATCAATCTTAACCACAACACTAAACTTCCTCAATGCTGCAAGTGACGTTTAGAAACATCCGTGTGAAATCTCATGCTCATTGTATGGATAATAAGCAGCATATATCTGTAATGGCAAAGAATAATTGTAGCTCAGATGGGTGATCTTGGTTGCATTGTGTTCTCTGAGCTGGGTTGTTAAGTCGTGGAGCTTTCACCGTCTTTCTAGGCAGCAATATCAGCACGAACTTCAGTATGAAGTGAGTTGACAACATCTCTCCATGAGTGATTCAGGAGCTTACTCTCACGAACTGGTTTGTGACTGGTTGTTTCCTTTGATTGTTGTGTCACTGACTGAATAGATTTTCCTGTTGACTGTTCCTCTGCCTGATGTTTGACGTTTCTGTTGTTTATCATCAACAAACACCAAACCACATTATGCAGACCAAAGGACGTAACAGACTAAGCAGACAAACCAAATATCATTTACAAAATCGACTGCAATAAATTTGAATAACACTACACTGAACCAAGTGGTCACCCTCTCCACCTTCGCCTTAAATGCACACTAATCGGCTATTAAACGTCACGACATTTCATCGCTGATTTCAATTCATGTGATAACTATGGACATGAATTCAATTTTGACAATGTAGAAATTTTGGACGGAGAGAGGAAACACAAAGAATATCGGAGAATTCCTAGACACTTGGCATTCAGGTCAGTCAGTCAGCAATCAACAGATATGTAAACATAAACCTAATCCGTCAATTAATGAGAAAAATGATAAACAAGAGTCAAGTCAGAGGTCAAGCAGAGGAACGGTCAACAAGAAAACCTATGCAGCCAACGACAAAACAATCAAAGAAAACCAAATCAGTTCATCAGGGCAAGCTACTGAATCACTCATGGAGAGATAATGTCAGCTCACTTCATATTGAAGTTAGTGCTGACGATGTCATCTATAAAGATGATGAAAGCTCCCAGCTCAGAGAACACAATACAACGAAGATGCATCTGTAACGCTTAAGAGAAAGTATGAAATCTTTGCATACTTGGTATACATCCGACTGATGGTAGTCAGCAAAAAGAAACTTCCATGTACAGAATAAAAATAACAACTACACAACCAAATGAAGACTTTTACACCGATTGACTCTAAAGGCTATTCTAGCAACGTTTTATCTAACCAATTCGGCTTCTTTATTCATGCGAGAATGTCGTCAAAGAAACCTATTCGATTATTTCACTAGTTTCTAGAGCGGCCTTCAGAGTCAATCTTTGCACCAGACGATAAGCCATGCCTTTTGTCTATGGACCAATAATACTACTTAATTAACCTGCTAACAATTAGACGTGAAGTACATTTAGAATACTTCCTGAAGAATAACTTAACAAATTCAATACCATTATAAAATAATGTTTACATAAAGAGACAACACAGTAAAGGCATAGAACGTTTACATACCATTTAACATCATCCGTATGCTCTAAATAATGTCGTTGACATTGTTCTTCAATGTTGTATAGAACTACAGTTGCTGCAACAAAGTAAATCAGTTCTCCAGTTGGTAGATAGTGCAAATTATTTCGACAATCACGTCCACGATAACCATAACTAGTATGATATGGTAATTTAGCGTACAAGTGGTAATAGTCATTAAGGGAAATATTTGAAAGGAAAAATATCATGAATGAAAACAACATACACTGAGACTTCCCACCAATTGCCTTCAATCAACTATCATCTACTAATGTGCACAGTGATACTGTTGGTCACATTGCCAAAAATGATCCATAGAATTCGATCAGCACTCAGAACTGGACAATATGAAATTAACTGCTGTCCCGTGACCAATCAATACATGTAACCCAGTCCTACAAGAGGTCGGTCGCAGCCTGAATAGCTCAGTGGTAAAGTCGATAACTACAACAATGGGTGACGCGGGTTCGAATCCCAGACGGGACATCAGTTCCGTTGAGGTTGCAGATACACCTTGCTGATAGGTGTCAACAAGCACGAAACTTAAGTCCAGGGCTTCCTGTCGATTGCCTCCAACCAACTAACGTCTACTAATGTAAACTGCGATGCTGAGCCTCCTACCTTGGTGGCCACATTGCAAAATTAATCTACAGAGTTCGGTTGGCAGTCAGGAGTGGACAACATAAAACTGTTTTCACTTCTACGACCAATCAATAAATATCTTCTTCTTGAAGAACAATTTATGCCATTCAGTCAAGTAGATTCTTAATGACTTTTGTTCCAGGAGCCACTTAGTGTGATAGAATTTAGATACCCCTCTATTATCTAAACAGAATTAATTGGAAGGGAAGTGAGCTCAAACTGTATGAGTAAGACAATATGATTTGTAGAGCACATTGTGTAAATCACTTTAACTAGGGAAGAGACTAAGGATGCATACTGAAGAAAAGCTGGATATTAGCATGGAATAACTGTTCCATACTTCAAATAAAATCAACTTTTTATTGAAACCATCTCTAACTCTGCTAAGAAATCACAATCCAAATAGTCATATACAAACTCATATGTTATACTTTGGTACTGCCAAAACAGATTATAACCATAACAACTGATCATAATGAAGTTAAAAAAAACTAAAAACTTTTCTATACCAACGAAACTTTATTGATTGATTCCAGGTCTTCATCTGACCACTCTGAACCCTCTTGCAGTCTAATCCTACTTCCCTCATCAGCATTGCGCAACAAGGTAGGCAGTGGTTCAATATGCACAGTACATCTCCAAGCTATCTCAGTCGATGAAGGTTCGCAACCTCATTAATCGACTTCCCCGTCTTACCTAGTACCATGCACCTGACCTCAACATTGCTCACATGGCGATTCCACTAAATATGAAATATCTCAGGAAGACACACGTGATCAAAACTGTACAATTGCTTCATGTCTTTACTTTTAACTAACATGTCTCAGCCATAGGTCAGGACAGAACGAACAGTAGGGCAGTATACTCATCGTTTAATAGATAGTCGGATATCTCGCCGATCGGCGCTACAGGTGACACAAGTTGGCAAAAATGCTAAACGGAGCTTTTGGATCTGAGCTGAGATTTCGTCAGAAACCACCGCGTTCGGACTGATGCAACTATAGAAGAAAGCGAAGTGCTTAACACATTCCACCAATTCTCTCTATCATTCAACTAGGAGTAGTATACGATAAGGGAGCAATAACATGAAAGCGAGAATTCAAGTCAAGGAGTTACAAATAGGAGACTATATTAATGAACCTCAGCATACTATTAGGTACTTCTGACTTAAAAGTGTCCTTTAAAACATCTACTGTTCCTATGAACTATGATGTTATGCAAAAGATCCATAAAATCAAAAATTAAATCGAAATCGGACAGTATAGTTGAACCAGAAACAGAAATAGAGAGAAAATCTCCCGAAAACCTCCTTGGAAATAGAATATCTATATTATTATTTCATATAAGCCTTCTTAGGATAGATGTGTAGCCAATGAGGAGTCTTTATTTTCAACGTCTATCTTGTCAATTGATAAGATTGCTTCATGTCTTCATTTCCCTTTCATCCTTTGAGTAGGATATTGGTGGTGTACACAGTTCCTTACGAAAGCTATCGAAATTACGAGTTTATTAACAATTTTGAAAAAAAAAACTGAATTAGAACCCTAAGCAGACTATGGTAAACAAACCCTTGAGAAAGTATAAGAATTTCGTGTACATAAGGCGAGAAAAGTGTTCTGAAACACTATGATTTCCGTACTGCTTATTGCCATGATGGAAAAGCTATATTCTTTGGTTTAGACAATGAGTCAAACTACGATTGGTAACGAATTAAATATTAATCATGAAGTCATCATTAAGCCATCTGAAGAATAAATGATGAATAGAATAATTGCACAGAATTATTACAGATATCGGATTGTGTGAAACGTGCTGGGGATGGATAGAAAAGCCTTGTCTGGAGAGTGACCAATCAAAATGTAGTTTATGTTATCACGTCTACAGTCAGACAGACAGGCGGATGTACCTGTCTCCCAGTGAGTGATACTGTTCTCAACGGGATTCGGACTCGAAAGCGGTGTCTTCAAACGCCAGAGCGATATCCACTACACCACCGAACCACAATAGCCACTTCTTGTGCGACGGGTATAGTTTTAGTGTTGTTGCTTGTATTATACCGTCGTTGATTCGACCGAACTGACCAGTCTCTATTGGTATACGGGCTTCTGTACGGACGCCTCGATATACCTGTGTAGTTCTAGTTGTAGTAAAAATGGATCGCTCCCGAGTCCGAATCCCGGTGGGAACATCACTCAATGGGAGGCAGGTACATCCAGCTGACGAGTCCTAAATAGAACGAAATGAGCATCCTGAATTCTACTGCTAGCCACCATCCATCACTAGCATAATTATAACACAGGTAATATCGAGACATCCATACAGGAGCCCATATGCCAACAGAGACCGATCAATTCGGTCTAATCAACGATGGTATAATACAAGCAACAACACAAATCAATATTATTATTTTAAATACCGAACTATCTATATATATTAAATATATTTCCTTTTGTTTTGGGGCCTTCGGTCTTTCGATTTCAAAACACGTTTCTACACGTCTATCGTGTCTTCTCCATTATTTGGTCGGGGTCGGGAATCAACTAGGAAATTGTAGAACGTCGGTGATTGACACTCGATATCCGTGCATCGCTAGTGGTCATAGCACAAAGTACTTTCCAACCCATAACAGAAACACAGTGCTGTTTAACTGATTGCACAATTGGTAAGAAACAAAACTGAGGGAGTTACGTAGATGGCCGTACGTTAAAGCCTTTCTTATGGCATATGTATGAGTGCACCATTTACAGCAAAAACCCTTACGAGACAATCTTTGCAAATCTCATTCGTCCGATTTTCAGCTAAATAAATAGCAAACAACTTATTTCTCAACAGAAGTGTTGTCAATATTCTGAAATACCATCAAAATAATGCACAAAAGTAAAAAAGGATACATCCATTCCAACTTTAAAGTCATATCGGGAGCTTTCAATGGAATTGACAAATCATAATCTGTCATGACTTGGGTAGGCAAATAAACGTTGACTGGACGTCCACGGATATAGAATCGCAAAATCCCATCACCTGTTAGCAATGAAGGCAACAACAACAACAACAAAAGGATAGAAAGAATTTATACAATATGAAAACGAAAAACTCTTCATAGAAGAATGGAGTTTGTTGAAAACAAGGTACCAATTAAAGGGTATGGGGCACATGTGTCTACACCGGCTTAAGACTTCTCAGAAATGTAGGTGTGCCCCTTCCACCCCCCCAAACAATGCCCAAAGTTGGAGAAACTGCACTACCCGCTGTGTGTATAAACACTGAAATGATCAAATGGAAATGACTGGTAGAATAATACACGTAACGCTATTAACGCGATGAGACATTTGGATTGGATACGAATAGCGACTGTTCGCTCTCAGACCTAACATACTTCACTGAGCTGCGAAAATCAGACAATAAAAACACCGGCCTGTGACTGTAAGGACAGAAAATATCATTTATAAGCAGTTTTATCCCCATAAAATAAAGCCACTAGGTCAGAAGTTTGATAATTGTCATGATTGGTCGGCTGTAGGACAAAATTGGCCAATAAGGTATTCCCTGCCCACACAGCAACATGAAACAAGGTTGAAGCTCAAAACGCACAACCTTAGTGGCTGATGACCTAGAATGTTGATTTCGGTTTAGGCTTCTTCCTATCAAACATCAAACCTCTGGTTCCACGTATAGTTTTATCTACATTGGTTCTCTAAATAAAAATGCCTATTTAGTGATTTTAGTAGTTTCAAATCAATCTGGACAATCGATCCCATTAACATGATAAACAGATCTAACAAGGTTAAAAACTTACTGATAAAAATGAATTCTACAAAAATATCCCCACCACCAAAAAAACTAGAACACATGAAAAAGCACCATTTACCTGGCATATAAGTAGTTTCTTTAGAGCTACAAAATGTTGAGAAGAAAGTATCGGAAATTTTATTAGCATTCTATCAGTAAATACTTTTAGTTTTAAAAAAAACGGTTAACACTGAGAATGAGGTGTTAAATTTTAGTGTGTACACAAGAAACTATCTTAGTGCAGTAGAAGATTTCTACATTAAAGACACCAGTGTCATATAAAAGAGATGAGAGAGTGTGTACATGGTGAACGAATCTGGCTACAGAAGACTTCACCTTGAGCCAGTTTTGAAATAAGTGAGGTTGTTAACGTCAAAACTCAACTAAAATACAAATAAAATGTGTACATCACACCAAATCATAGTTTTGACTTGCTCGTCATCATGAGATCTGGAAACTGAAGAATGTTTGTTTATTGATATAACAGTATCACGATTTGTAGGACATATTGCTATTCCACCAGGTTTCCAGGCAGTCGGATGAAGTGATGACCGACCAGTAGATGTTAGGTGTACAGAACGATCATCGGAATCAGTACCGTAGTATGCTGAAGATGGTCCAGATGAAGGACGACCACGTCGTACAAGATTAGGAGGTAAACACAGAGATGAAGGAGGAAGAGCAGGAGGCAATGGTGGCACTACTGTATGCGTCTTCCGAAATGAAGAATACATAGAAGAAGGTTGTTGGCCTGGAGGGCTTTGACATTGATTGATTCGGCACATATCAGCCAGATCACCATCACAGGTTGATCGCCAAAACACCGTGTAACCAGATGGTCCAGTTGAAGCTTCATAATATCGTGATGATGCATTTGACTTCAGAGTTGATGATTTTTGTGGGCAGGTAACAAGTTCAGTCTGTCTGGAAACCAACATACCATTACCTTCGTACATGGAAAGAGCTTTAGTTTCACGTTCGTGTTTATTGGTCATTATATATCGCCTATCCTCTGAACTAGCACTAGTAATCCGATTTCGTCTAACCATATAATTAATAATAATAGTTATAAACACAAGTTTATACATGCTACTTAATTTATCATGAGACAGAAAAGTCAATAAAAAAACCTCAAGTTCACAATGCAATGAACAACAAACTAAATGACCCAATTAATTAAAGCAAATACTCAATTTGGAGGTTTGTGGGGATTTGTTTATTGATTTCAGGTTGGTATTCAACATGGACTGGTATCAAGTCGGAGAACCACTGAAAAATATGAGAGCACTAGACGGCTGTTTTATCTTGGTATGGAACTCCTCAGTTGATGTCACTTCATGATGGATACGAACCTGGAATCAATAAATCACTACAAACCTCCAAAGTGAATTAATCTAGTGCTCATTGGTGACTACCTTCCATAGGTAATTCCCGAAGTTCCAATGAAAAGTCGCAACCGTTCTGGTCAACCAAGTTAACGATGATATTGGATGGAAGACGGTAGGATATATGGACCCTTGAATTCCGGCCCATTGGTTCAATGGTAACGTAGTGGCCGCGGAACCTGAAGATCCTGAGTTCGGTCCCTGGAGGGGCCATGGATGCACACTGCTGTTTAGTGCTCCCAGGTTCTCAGTGTTCTTACAGTTGACAGTCAATCACTACAAAAATGAACATAAGGCAAAGGATAGTGTAAACGACTTTCGCAATCGCGTCGAATGACTACGGCTTAATGATACCAACCCGTCGCAAGCAATTGGAACATGATTCAACTTTGGGATGCGATACAAATTACACAGATATATAAGATAAGCAAAGTGGACGCGTAACCTCTTTTCATGAATATACAGTTAAAAAAACTTCAAAAGTCCTATCAACAAAGGTCAAAGGTTAGTAGGAAAATGCATTGAACTGTAAATCGGAAGACAAAAAGTAGTAGACCGTAGAAGTTAACAAGCTAGTCTTACGTAATGTTAAAAAAATATGTAGATAATGAATAAAGTTTAAGAGTGCTTGTTGTTGATGTGTAAGAAGATTACTGTAAACAGCAAAGATTGGAATCTAGACAACACGAGATATCACAAATGTAATTTGGTAGCCCTTACAGATTGTACTACTTTCATCTTCCGATTCAACATTTCAATAAGCTTGGTTACTAACTGATACTAATCTTTGATGCTTGTTGGCATTCTTCATGATATTTCTAAACCACTACTTAATTCACTCAACAGATAAGTTACCAAACAAGTCCTCTTTGCTGAGTAACGCCTTACTCAGTAAAACCACGATAAGTCAGAAAAGTACAATGTGGTAATCTGCAGTTCAAATATTTACGTCTATGAAATAAAACAGAAAGTGTCATCCAACTAGACACGAATCTAATGTTATTACACAACTCCAGAACTAGAGTATATTTTACTTGGTAAATCATTGTTACCGTTTTACTAAGGTCGTCTTGATCACTTACCACCTTAGAAACACTAAAATAATGACACTCATCACAGCCTAAGAAGTAAGAACCGATTATAACATTTCCTTTAAGACATAAATATTTACCTATTACGAAACGCAATAAGAAACTGTGAGGAGCGAGAAGATGGGCATACGCTGGACCAATGAAAAGACCTTAGAAGATTTGGATTTCGCCAACGATGATGATTTATATCTGTATTATCTCACAAACTCAAAGATCCACATGCGAAAACTAACAAGTCGGCAGAAGAGGCAGGGCAACGAAGACGAGACTTCAAGTTAAGGTAGAGAAGACTTAGGTGACCAAGATACCCAACAAAACAACAAGCACCAATCACCATCAACAGGAGAAATCCAAGAGAAAGTTGTTTCTTTCACTTAACTTGGCAAGGCAGCATCGTTTCAACTACAGGCGACACAACCACAGATGACGATGTCAGAGACAGGATCGGAAAGACAGCTAGACAGGCCTTAACTAATCTGTGAAGACCCACTGAACTGCACTCCACTCACCATGAAGCGTGAACAACATCCGGATTCTCAACACTAACGTCAGTCAAGTCGGTGCTTCCAAGTGATGCTTCACAGACTTGGCGCGTTACGAAAAGCATTTCCAACAAACTACAGGCATTCATCAACAGCTGCAGCCTATGCTCACTCCATAGTGAAGATGGAGGTCAGATGGCCAGAATAATAAGAATAAGCAACAGAGAACTCTGGCTGGAAACCAAACAACCAACCAAGAACCTATGGCCCAACAAATATGCAGAAGAAAGTGGAAATCGATTGGATTGGATTGGACATACACTGAGAAGACCGTTTGGAGACATCACGCGTCAGGTCAGGCCAGACCCTCGAAAGGAATCTAAACGCGGAACGACGAGTTGAGCATCGCAAGGTGACATGGAAGAGATCGTGTGAGGAAAAAATGAAAGCTTACAGGCAGTCGTGGAGCCAGGTTTAAAAGACTGCAGAGAAGAGAGTGAAATGGTGAAGTGGTACTGAAGCCCTATGTCCCATTAGGAACCCAAGGGATAAATAATAATAATAATAATGAAACGTAATAACATACAACTACTAAATGAGCCTCAAATTACACCAGTTAATTGTAATCTCTATTCATTACATTGAACGAAAAACTAGTAATCTACCTGACTTGAGGTCCACCTCCAGAATTTTGATTATTTAAAGCAGTCGACGATGAACTAAGTCGATTGCTTTGAGGACTTTTTAAACGAGTTTTTGATATAGTTGATGAATGTGGAACTGCTAGTGAACTATCACGTGAATTTACAGTAGGATTTCGAGAATTCCCACGTCTTCTTGAGTATGATTCACCACGTGAATTATTTTTACCTGTAGTTGAGCCTAAAACAGATAAATATGCAGATGAATTAGAAAGAAATGTGTGTGTGTATATATATGGAGACAACTATACATGATTAGATTTGTATTGTATACAAGATATCGGTGTACATAACACGCAGTGCATGCAAAGAAAGTACACTTGTAGATAGAAGTCTCTCCAATTGTCATCCATACAATCTCTTTATATATACACGATAGACAACAGTTGAATATAACACCATGATGTTAAGCGTAAGCAAAAATAATCAACTCAACATAATCATATGCCACTAAGCAATTAGTATGATATATCTGTTGACAAATCATAATTGAAAAGAGTACAATGATAATTCACTTTCCTATGCCGAAGCTGATTCTCTCAATGATTGATTGACTACTACTCACTCTATAAGAAGTTATGATAACTAAAAATCCTCAATACTTGAGTAATTTTCATCTCTATTTTCTCAAATCAAAAGTATGACTGTACCGTATAGTCTAATACGAGGCTGTGATCAAGATAAACAAGGATGAACCATTAGGTCTAGGGTCCGAATCCAGACTACTATCCCCCCCTCTATGCCACCACATTTAGTGAAGTTGATCAAGCTCACATTGTGTAATACATGAACTTGTTGGTGATTTAATTTGGAGGCTTGTGGGAATTTCCTTTATTGGTCTCAAGTTAGTATTCATCATAGACTGACATCAACTGAAGAAGCATTGAAAACCTTAGAGCACTGAGTAGCTATTTTGTCCTAGAATGGGACTCCTCAGTCGTTCCTCGACTACAGCATTGGATGGATGTCATGCTATATGAGAAACTGGAGGAAGTAGGAAGATGTGTACTACTGAACTTCGACCCAGTAACTCAAAGACAACATGCTGGTCACGAATTCTGAAGCACCTGTGTTCGATCCTTGGCAGGGTCATAGATGAACACTGCTGAGGAGCCCCATACTGGAACGAAACAGCTATCAAGTACTTCTAGATTTCCAATGTTTCTTCAATTGCTATCAGTCCGTCATGAAGACTAACTTAATTGTGGTAATTAAGTTGCTTTGGAGCTAGTACATTTCCACATTGAATGCTTCGGCTTTATATGTGAACATTGAAATGCAATGAAGTTAGCGGAAGATGAAAACAAAATCAACAGTATGCACCAGCAAAAGATCGAAACCCCCAAGCCAACAAACTCTACATAAAATCATTACAAAAGCAAAAATCATGCCATATATATATATATATATATATATATATATATATATATATATATATATAATACACCGTAGGCACACACAGTATACATGAATATACTTATTTCAGCGTGAAAATAATACCATGCATGATTTCGATTTAACACACAAACACACACAAATACGAATGAATAAAAGCAAAAAGTACATATGTTAAACAGACGAAGAATAACAAGTGAAATTAACAATATATATATATATATATATATATATATATATATAACACCGATGATGATAATCATAATAATGATACAAACAATGAATATGGTTTTGGAAAACTGAAAAAGAATGTAGAAAAAAATCGACAGAAAATATATGTATAAGGGGAATCAATAGTATGAGCATGGCAGAAGTACTTTTAAAATGCTTGCCAATTAAAAAAAATAACCCATTATGAGGAAAAGAGTAGTTTATCTAGTAAGTAGTATGTTTTACACTGGATCAGTCACGTGAATGAAATGAAGTCTATTTATGGTGTAGAATTTCAGTTCAGGTTACACCTACACAGCTAGCTTAACAACACTATCATGTAAAAACAAAAGTAATAGAGACCTTTCAATTATGTCTAAGGGTCGGTTACCACCACATGACTAACTGTAGTGCGTAATGCTGACCTAGAGATAAGTAGTCAATCATAATCAGTAGAACTGAAGTACTGTCTCAAATCTTTCTCTACTTTAAATCACAGTAAACCAATGCACTTGGAACACAATCCAGTTATTTATTATTTTTCCCTTGGGTTCCTAGTCGAACATAGGGCTTCAATAGCAAGTTTCCATTGCACTCTGTTCCCTGTAAACTTTTGAACATGTCTCCACGACAGACTAGAAGCTTTCATTCCTTCCTCACATCATCTCCTCCACGTCACCCTCAGCTGGGACGCCCAACTCGTCGTTTCCTATTTGGATTCTACTCGACGGTCTGGTGCGTGGTGTCCCCACTCGGTCTTCTCAGTGTATGCCCAATCCATCACCACTTTCTTCTGTATATTTGTTGGGCCTTAGATTCTTGGTTGGTTCGTTGCCAGCCAGAGTTCCTTGTTGCTTATTCTTATTATTCTGGCAATCCATCTGATCTTCAGTATCGAGTGAGCGTAGGCGGCAGCTGTTGATGATGTATGTCTGTAGTTTGTTGGAAATGTTTTTCGTGACACGCCAAGTTTCTGAACCATATAGCAGCACTGACTTGAATGACGTTAGTGTTGAAAATGCGGATCTTGTTCCGCATGCTGAGTGCAGTAGACCTCCACACTGATTTCAGATTAATGAAAGCGTGTCTTGCTGTCTTTCCGATCCTGGCCTTGACATCGCCATCTGTGCCTGTGCCGCCTGTAGTTGAGACGATGCTGCCTAGGTAGGTGAAGGACACTACTTCCTTTAGGTTTTTCCCGTCGATGGTGATCGGTGCTTGTTACTCATGCTGTTGTTGGTTGGGTATCTTGGTCACATAAGTCTTCTCTACATTCACTTGAAGTCCCGTTTTCGCTGCCCTGCCTCTTCTGCCGACTTGTTAGTTTTCGCCTGTAGATCTTTGAGTTTGTGAGATAATACAGATATAAATCATCATCGTTGGCGAAATCCAAATCTTCTAAGGTCTTTTCATTGGTCCAGCGTATGCCCATCTTCTCGCTCCTCACGGTTTGCGGCATGATTCAGTCGACCACAATCAGGAAGATCATGAGTGATAGTAGGCAGCCTTGTCTTACTCCTGTCTTCACTTCAAAGGCATCACTGAGCTTTCCATTGTGGATCACTTGGCATGTGGCGTTAAGTTAGTCCTAAAAAGACTGCAGATTCCTAATATCCCGCCATTAATACATAAAACATCTTACAGTTAGATAACAGTAAGAACTCAAATTGCTTACCTTTAAAATTAACCGAAAACCACAACTGCGCAATAATATAAAGGGATAGTAAGTTCAAACAAAACATACTTGCACTTTTAACTATAATTATTTATTTGTGACAAGGGGCAAGTCATACTCAGAGGATTTGTCGTCAACTGCGAATCTTGAAGACGACAGGTTGTATGTAGATCTCCCATTTTTAGCCCGTTTCTTTAGTGTATCATACACAGTGGATAGTCCCTCTCAGGCATAATTATTATCAGTGTGACTATATGAGATTGCCATGGTTTCGCAGACTTGTACTATTGATACTAGATAATGAGTGTTGGCGAAAAGAGAATTTGTGCCGCGGTGGAATTCAGACCAGCGACTATTGGGTTTCCGACCCAGTGCTTTACCAACTGAGCTACGACACCTGATTGCTAACCAGATTTTTATTTCACTTCAACCACCATGAAGGAACTCTGAAACGTTATTCAGTAAATATAACTGTTCTAATGTGTAACACGGCAAAGAAATAAACTAAGATGGAGTTGCAATCTATTGGAGTGTGCCCAAGTTCTACTTCGATATTATCTTTGCTCTTATTGGTGTTTATTTCGCTAATATTGATCAACACCTATCGATGTATGACTGGTAATTGATTGATTACTGATTTTGGGCGGGTGTTTAAAAACACAGTACTATCGTATACTCAATCAAAATTGAGATATACAAGAACAAACATAGAATTTAACAGGTCTATACAGAGGTAGTATTCATCACGGACTGACATTAGTTGTAGGACCATTGGAAACCTGGGAACTCTTGACAACTGTTTCGTCTTAGTATGAAACTCCTCAGCAGTACGCATCCAGTGTTGAGTGGTTAACGCGTTCGCCGTAAAACCTGAAGGTCCTGAGTTCGATTCCTAAGCGGGTCGTGGGTGCGTACTACTGAGGAGTCCCATACTAGGAGAAAGTCTATATATTAGAAGGAAACCTTTTCCCAACTCTATCATTCCACTGTTTTTAGTTTCCAAAGTCCGCAAGCCACTAAAGATTCTAAACAAACACACACATACAAGACTGTAGATCTGTTCCCGATGGCAAAACAATAGTAAATCAACTACTGATATAGTAAAAGATATACTTAAAGCGTAATATACATATTTATCTATGCGCATACACATGCACACTTAATCTGGTGCTCGTATTCTTATTCATCAGCTTACAGCACTATCAATTACATATAAAAAGAAATTTAATTTTATCAGTTAGGTCGTGTTCATGTGATTCATCACTAGAAATGTACTAAAAGTAATGAGAATTTTCTAAGCAACTACAGGTTTGCCGTGTTACAATGAAAAAATAGTTTCAAATACTATTGCTGGTCCATCCAGATGACAAGTGCCAAATAGGATGAAATGAGCATCCTGGATTCCACTGATAGCCACTACCCATCATTACTAGAATTGAAACACAGGTAATATCGAGGCATCCACACAGGAGCCCATATAACAATAGACACCGATCAATTTGGCACAATCAACGACGGTATAATACAAGCAATAACATCAAAGCTATACCTGTCGAATAAGAGGTGGCTATTGTGGCTCGGTGGTGTAGCAGATAACGATCTGGCGTTTGAAGCGATCGCTTTCGAGTCCGAATCCCGGTGGGAACAACATCACTCACTGAGAGGCAGGTACATCCAGCTGACGAGTCCCAAATAGGACGAAACACGTATCCTGGGATCCCACTGCTAGCCACTATCTATCATTATTATGATCATAACTATTTACAGCTGATACACAGCGATAACTGAGCACAAGTAACGCTACAGAATAGTGACAGAAAGCCAAATAAGCAATTAACTGGCCGCATTGTCAAGCCCATGGGTTGGTCGCATGTCATACTGAACTAATTTAAATGTGCCTA